ATTATTTTTTATTTTTTGAACTCATGGTGATCGTCCTGTCTCAGCCTTTTAAATGCTGGGGCAAGGGTGGGTGTGGTGGCACACGCCTGTAATCCCGACACTCAAAGCTGAAGCAAGAGGATCACTGTGCATTCAAGATCAGCCTGAGCTACAAAGTGAGCTCAAGACCAGCCTGAACTGTATAGTGGAACCCTGTCTCCAAAAGATAAATGAATGAATGAATGAATGAATGAATGAATGAATGAATGAATGAATACAAGCATACACCCTGGAGTAACAGGTATGCTCTACCAGGTCCTGCAAGGTGTGTTTGTGTGTGTTTCTGTGTTTTAACTTTCTGCAAGGCTTTATTCCAGAGGGGCTGTTCTTGGCAGCTGCCTTCCTCATGGTGGCTCAGCTCCTCACACTTCCTCTTGGCAAGGATGTGCAGCCCCACCCTTTTCTTGATGAACTTGAGGGCATGTTTGTCCTTGTAGACCTTGAGCAGCTCCATGGCTCGGGGCTAGTTCCTAGGGGGAAAAGCTGCACACCTCCCAGATCCTGTCATTTGCAGATATACCTCGGTTTGCTCACATTGAGTCACCTTGTGACCCTTGTTGAGGCCCACAGCCATGGGATAGCAGAGGGCCATGGCTACTGTTTTTCAATGGTTGCTGTGGCAGGACTGTGGTGTGATTTTTCCCCCCTCCTATATCCAGCCCAAAGGCAAGCCCTTTAACATCTACCTATAAAATACATCTCTAAATTCTATTTTTCAATCCATTGAAAGCCCACATGATCCCCTTTACCTCCTTGCTGGAATGCCCTCTACTCTTGTGCCCTCTTCCAATCCACTGTCCACCTAACAGCTTCTCAATACCTCAAATATCCCCACTCCTTCCCATGGCTCAGCAAGGCCCGTGTGATCTGCTCGATGTACCAGACAAGTGACTTCTCTCAGCACTGCCCAACTCCATGGCCTTTCCACATACGCTGTGCTTGTCATGGTCCTCATCCTCCAGGGTGAAAGTCAGCTCTCCTACATCCTCTTTGCAGCAGAATTCCCAGCTGGTCCTTTCCTAGTTTTTGTCTAGTGTCTGAACAAATTTACATTCCCTGCATTCCCAACTAGCTCACTCTACAGGCAAGGGTGTGTCTGTTCTGCTTCCCACCACAGTCCCTAACCTGTTATTTGGCAGAGCAGGTGTGAGGTGGCAATCCCAACTTCCGTCAGTGTAAGCCTGGCTTTTGGCTAATTGAGTCATTATTCCATCTGTGTGATTTGAGCCCTTAGTCATTGTTAGTTGAAAAGATCAGACCCTTGAACTGCTCAAATATATCAAATGTAAAATTACACTTTCCTAGCAAGGCTGATTAAACTAATCCATTATTTTCAAACTACAACCCAAAACTACTTATCGCAAAGTGCTGATACTGCAATTAAACCCGAATACTGAGATTTTAGTTTAGAAAAAACTGTTATCTGATGCTCGGCTGCTGGGGCAGCTTAGCTCACCTGCCTACAGAGGGCTGTGGGTGCCCTCCTTGGCCTGCATGCTACAGGTTTCCCACCACGGCCACACATGTTCAACATCCTAAGGGCAGAAGAAAAGCCCTACACTGAGCAGGGGCAGGGGTAACTTTGAAACAGATACTATGTGTCTTACGTGGAAGAGGGCAAGCTTTTGGAATTTGAATTACATGAATGAAAGATCCAGGGTCTATTCTTGCAAAAAACAATGACCAAAAAATCTAATACTGAAAAGTTTTTGTTTTTATTTCCAAGATCAAATATTACAACAGGACATTTACATATATTTATAAAAAATGCAGCAGTTGGATTTATAGATCAGAGGTTTCCTTGAGTTTGGTCCCTCTCTCAGCACAGTGAGCTGATGTCTTTGAAAGACGTGGTGCCCCCTACCCTCCCCCCTAGCTGCCCACCCGCCCTCCCCAATTCAAGTTGCAGTATTAATATAAAGCAACTGGGTACAACACAGCAAGGATATTCACAATTTGGTATAGCCCGAACCAGAGGATCAGCAACCGAGAGAAAGATCCTCGCTTCAGAAATATTTACCTATAGACTATGTGTATCTATAGATAGATCACACCCGGTTAGCTAAGATTTCCCTGGTTTTAGAGCAAGTGGAAGTTCCGTTGAGTCTTACCAGCAGTTACAGGTCTGCTTTACCTAACGGCATGTTTTTCTTCTCTAAGTTCAGATTTTCCACCACCTCTGTGTCTTCCAGTGTAAGGCTTTCCCCAACACCTTTCATGTCATTTACTGGATATACAGGAGGGTCTCTAGAGTGTCGTTAACAAAAGAATTCAGTGGATGGTCCAGCTACCTCTTGCTGGCTGATCCCAAAGCCTTCTTCCATTTCTGTGAAGAGCTACAGAACGATACCTCCTAGCACCATGGGGTTAAAGGCCCAGACACACGAGAGCTCTGCATTTCAGGGGGCACTTGTCAGAAGCACTACAATAGGAATGCGGTCTCTGTCCATATCTTCTTGGATTTAACTACAGAGTCAATTTAGAGCCTGTCCTGCATTAAAAATGCAAACCTCAGTAAGACCACCACTTTGTCCAGAATAAGCCAAGTACACAGACATCCCAGGGAATCTCTAAATACTGTTAGGAACTGCTTGAAAACACTTCTAAAGCGAATACCCCAAGTAGACACCATTCAAGTTCCCAACCCACCCTCTTCCCTATTCCCTAACAAGTTTCATTCCTTGATCAACCTCTCTGATTAAGATGGGAAGTGAGGTCTGGAGAATGATACAAAATGTTTAAAAACAGAGTTAGCAAAGACATGCCAGAACTGGGCATCTCAGATGACTCTAAGCACACTGTTTAAACTGAACTCACACAAAGCATGCACAAAGCCCGCCACACGCAAGAAAAATTTCCATGGAATGATAATAGCTACCAGAAAAAGGACTTTTTTAAGGGTCAAGAAAAAAAAAACCAAAAACAAAAAAAAAAAACAAAAACACTTGATGTTTAGAATTTGTTACCAAGAGAAAAAGCATTCTGTGGGGGAAATCCTAGAGAAAATCTCATGTCCCACAAGTTATTGCCAAAGCCTGGTGGGCCCCTCACAGTCACCTGCTGTGCTGGCATCCCGCACTCATTCTCTGGAGCGCAGGCATCATCCTAGCTTCATGGGCCCCCAGGGGTTGAGTGAACTGAAGAGGGAGCCTAGGAACTTCACAGTATAAAGAGCACTGCCACACTCTCCTACTCATAAACTGAAAGGTGGAAGTCACACACTACTGTCACTCTAGTTAGCAGGTTAGAGATTTTTTCCAGAGGCAACAGTCACCTTATTGAGGCTTAACTTACAGGCAACAAGTTACCAGAAAGTTATTAAGAGCCTATGCTTAGTGTCATAAACTATCTGCATTCTGAATCACATCATCTGACTTATTCCTATTAAGAAAAAAGCCACTTTGAGAAAGTATACAAAATCATTTTGATGAAAACACCAAGTATCAACCTTTGAAAATCAGTGAATTGAAATAGGCCCTGGTGACACACACAGTAGTCAGTCAACCTGAGGGAGAGAAAAGCAGAACAGCAGCATAGGGCCTAGGGCCCTCAGTTAAGGTAACCACACCCAGGCCATGAAGAAACCAAGTAACAAAGATGTTAAGAAGGAGCGATTCCATTCCAGGTCTCAACTTATCTGATGACTCTGAGGGCTACCCATTCCCTAATAATGAAAGTCCTGGTGGCCCACTCAATGAATAATTTCTTTTGTGATGAAGACAAACTATTAAGTTCTGTCCAGCTTAGCCTAGCTTTTGCCACTTGAAAACTTCCCTGACTTACAAGGCATATAAAATCTTAGAGCATTTTGGATTTTTATTTTTTGTCTTTTTTGAAATAGGGTCTTGTTGTGCAGTTCAGGCTGGCCTTGGGCTCCCTTTGTAGCCCAGGATGGTCTCAACTCACAATGATCCTCCTGTCTCAGTGTCCAAGTGCTGGGATTACTGGTGCGCACCACCACACCCAGCTTCTTATGTTGATCTTTACAGAGGAGATAAAACCATCAAGCAAACAAAAATCTGCTGCTTGTTGCCACAGAATTAAGTACAGCAAAATAATTTCCTATACTTGTAGATTAGTATATGATTGTTCTTTAGGCAAAATACTACTATATGTACTTCTAATCATACAAATAAATCTGGTTATCTTTCTAAGCTACATACATCACTACAGAAATGCTAAACTGTTATAATAAGTTCATATTTGATTACTCAAATTTATTTTGGGATCATATGCCAGTAAGTTTATGACAATGGCTGAAATTCTAAGCAACACGATAGCAATCTGTAGCTCAAAGAGTGAGGGACAGGAGCCACAGAGCTAGCTACTCTCTATTTGGTATAAGAATTCTCAGAAAAAGGATCCGTAAGTCAGTATGGTGGTACCACACCTGTAATCCCAGCACTCAGGAGGCCAAGACAGGATTGCTGTTAGTTTAAGGCCACTCTAAATTACACAGTAATTTCAAGGCTAGCCTTAACTACACAGCAAGACCCTATCTCAAAAAAACAAAAAAGGAGCCAGGTTTATAGCTCAGCAGCACAGTGCCTGCCTGGCAAGCATGAGGTCCCAAGTTCAATTCCTAGTACCAAAAAAACCAAAACAAACCATAAAATAGCTCTTTGTGTCAAATTCTTTCCTTCTATATTAATTTATTAAAAAAGAACATTAAATCTCAAACAAATATAGCTAGTTATATTAAAAATAACTATTTTGGGGAGAAAAAACATCAAAAATCAAGAATAGAGAAGTAAAAAGAGGACTGGCAAGATAGCTCAGTAGATAAAGCACTTGCTTTGGCAAGTTCAAGAACCAGGATTCGATTCCCAGTCCCGCATGCTGCGCTAGCCCTGGCCCAGCTCCCAGGATGTGCTGAGCCTGCCACTGAGTCCGGCCATGGTGGCACAAGCCTGTAATCCCAGCACTGGGGAGGCTGAAAACAGGAGGATCACCACGAGTCTGATCTGTGTAGTGAGACCCTGCATCAAATACGCAAATGGGGGGGGGGGGAGTAAAAAGAGAAACTAAGATTACAAGACAGTTCTAATTAAGGTTTCATCACATCCAATAATCTAATCACGTAGGTTCACTTCCTTAGGAAATCAAGGCCATCACATGCTCTACTTTTAAAACTCTTCAGGCTACTGCCAGGCATGGTGGCACATGCCTGTATTCCCAGCACTTGGGAGGCCCAGAAGGACTGATGCATGTTCATGGCCTGCCTGGAGTACAAGGTGAGATCCTATCTGAAAAAAAACAGAGAATTCTTGATTCAAAACTATCCTCTCCAAAACGATGACACACAGGTGAGTCAAAACTCAAGATAACCATTACTCCATTACTGAAATGCCAAACTAATGGGAGAAATAAACATTTAGTATTAGAATATTACTCTTTATTGACTATTTTCATTTCTTTCTTTTTTTTTTTAGACAGGGTTTCTAGTCCAGGGTACCCAGGAAGCTTCTGATCCTCTTGCCTCAGCCTCCCAAGTGCTGGGATTACAGGCATGCACAAGCATGCCTGGCTATTATTTGCATTTCTAATGAATATTCCTGCTACCTTTTAATGTGCGTACTGTGTAATACTACTAAGTTTCATGGCAAGACAAATGAAATGCTAACCAAGCAAACCAACAGAGGTGAATATTCACAGCTATCTTAAGTAGCCTGCTCAAGGAGGCTTGTATCATTGGGAAAGTGCTATGTTCATCAGATGGGCTGCTGCTTCACTTAGGGTATCACATGAGACATTATTCACCTACTTGGGCTCCATAATTTACTACTGAGTTAAAGGAAAGATGGTCAAAGAGGGGGCCAGGACACAAACCATTTTAAACAATCACCTTAATCAGAACTTTAAAAAGTTGTTTCTGGACAAACCAAGCATAAATTCTAGCAGGCCATTTCACCAGTAAGAGCTTAGTTAGGAGAGTAGTTATTTTATAGCATATAAGATAAAATTCAACTCCAGAGTCACCAGTGTGTTTGATTTGCATTAATTATGCCTTGGTTGTACTCAACACTGATTAGGCAGGCATACAATACTAACAATTCATAAACACTAACTGTTAAAAGGTCATTACTAGATCTACACCTAACAAACTCTTCTTTTTGAGAATTTCAGTCATTACAATGAGATTAGGTCAACTTTCTGGGCAAATGATACACCTGTACACAGAAAAAAAAGGCAAAGGAACTGATTAAAAGAACATTTTTAATTAGCCTAACTGTAATATATAAAAAGGGGATAGATTACAGACACAAAAATTTGGAGTGGTAAAGGATTCCGAGATGATGTAATAGTGGTCTCCTGGGTGTGGGCTCCTCAAGCTCTGCTGGGCTCCGCAACTGTAGGTGCACATTTACATTTGCTATATGGAACTAATTACAGTTAGCCCCACAGTTCCCCACCCCTGGCAAACTTGGAAGTTTAAGTCCTTCTATTTGCAAAGACTGAAAACTATTAATCTAGTCTACTGTTCTCATTATGGGAAAAGGAGCCCAAGACCAAGACTCCGAGGTAGGAAGACTTGACAAGCTAACAGTTCATTCATGGCAGAGCTCGTGCACGAAGTGCACTTGCCCTGCCTATAGCGCCCTTCCTGCACAACATACACACTGCACGTTTTAATTGTACCTGGAGAGATAAGCTAAACCTTTCCTTCATTTTTCAGTTCCTAGTGGCTCCCTCTGCCATTCCTCTTAGCATCCAAATGACATCCCTGCTCATTATGAGTCTTTAGTACTAGGGATCAATGCAGCAATCCTTTCCTACTTGGGTACTTTTCATATGCCTTACTGATAAAACTTCATGCTTTAAAATACAGTAATTACAACAGAGGGGGCTAAAGAATGTAGATAAATCAAGATATTTGAGTCACAGTGTTGTCACCTTTCAGTCTTATTTCTTTGTGAAGACTTCCCTAACTAAAACCTACATTATTCCTTCCCTTGCCCAGAAAGGCAAATAACTACCTGTTTTCCAACTGTCTTATTTGTAATCCATCTGCCAAGTTAGATAAAAAAGTTAGGAATCAGTTCTTACACTTCAAAATATTTCCAATTTTGATTCAGAACTCAGTAGCTGACTGCTGCCTTATACAGTCAGGAAGCAAAATTTTACAGATTTAAAAACATAAAGGTGGACTGGACACAGGAAAGAATTATTACGTTTCCTAAAAAGGTTTTTAAAAAGTTAAAAAGATATTATGTTCGTTTTTAGATTTAGTCTTGGCAAATAATGTCGCATAGTTATTTTCTTTGCACATTTTCGTCAATGTGTCATTTTTAAAAAGCAATTAACAATCAGCTTCTTAAAAGAATGGCATAAATAAGCTTTATAGGCACAGTGCAAACTTCACAAGCTTTAACTGAACTACTTCACTTAGCTTTATGTAAACAAAACCAAATGCTAACTTACAAAGTGGACTTCACGGGCAAACTGACTCCCTGTGCCAGGAAGGGCACGGTGAAGGGGCGGGAGGCCAAGCTCTACATTCCCACTGCAACAAGCCACTTGAGGTCTGGGCGCCTGGACTACATTCTCTGACCTTCCATTTTCCTCCTGCTAAATGAAACGGGCACTATTCATGAGTCTGCAGGAGACTTCTGGGGAGAACACAGAGTACGTAGCACATGCCAGGAACTCAAAATGTGTTTCCCATTCTTCCCTTGGATGCCACTGTGCTTCCTCCTCTTCTAAGCTCTTCCTGAGTCCAACTTGAACATATTCCTCTTTTTCCTCATTAGTTTTCATTCCATTCCCCTGTACGGTATTTGTCACTCTCAAAGTTTACCTTGTTCCTTCCCTCCTGACTTTTTAAACTCTCTTTTTAAGTTGTTCTCAATACCTATGGGGTGAGGATGACTATTTATGAACGTTGCTGACTTCATTCTATCTCTTCAACAAAACCTTTCCTCCAGAGAACAAAGGAACTTGAAGAGGAAGCCTACAAATGGGAATAAGGGCCCTCCCGAACAGGTGAGGTTTTTCTGGAAGGCAACACTCCAGAGTTGGTATTCTGGTATAAAAAAGGCCCGGCTCAACACAAAATCAAATCCTCTATATCTTGTCCTCTGAACATGTCACTTACATCTAAACTGGGTCAATGCATCACTCTTTTACTTAAATCCTACATATACTTGGTCATCCCATGCTAATCCAAGTCAAAAAGTTACTTTGGTGTCTCATAAATGGGCACACTAGTGCTATGTCCTCCTCTCCTTTATGAACATATTGCTACATGCTGTTAAGATGTGGCTCAGAAAGAAAAGCTGGTAGGATGAGAATGAAGCAGACTCCTAGAGTGAATATTCTGGACTTCACAGGTTGAACCAATTCAGGCTTCAGCTGTGACTGTGCTGGGAGTGAACACGGGACTCATAGCACAAGGCCACACAGACATCACTTCTTACCCTGCTTTGCCTTGGTTTTTAGCTTTGACCTTGACTACCACTACCGAGATTTTGTACCTTCTATTGTACCTTTGATAGTGGACAGCTCTACCCTCAGACAGTAACTATGTCATCCAAGTTCAGAGATATGACAGATCAGAAGCAGCTAGTTAAGCCTTAAGAGCCTAGGAGAAACACCCAAGCAGTATTACTCAGTCACCAATCTACAGAGAGAACTTTGACTCAAGGTATAAAGGAAATTGTAATTATATAAATATATTTATAAATATTTATACAATTATATACTTATACATAAGCACTTACACAGACTTAGAAAACAAACGTAAGAACATTAATTCAAAAGGACTCACTGAAGAATAACAGAATTTTCCATGATTTCCTCAAGGAGATACATAACTCATTCTTCAGGGAGGGTCCCTAAAAATCCAACCATTACAAACCATGTTCTATAATTGTGGACTAGCAACACACAGCATCATTTTTTCAACCCCCTGGTTGCCAAGAAAATGGTCTTCAAGTCAACAACAACCTAAAGGTCTCTGAGCAACAGCAATTTATGTTCCTCCCAGGGAAGAATCAACTGAAGTCCTAAATTGACAAAAACAGTGTAGGTTAACTTCTGATTTTACTACCAGATCATTCCTCCCCCACCAGAGGACTCTATTTAAAGCTCAATAAGAAATGAACATACAGTGAAGCTCGTAAGCCAACAGTATTATACAGACCCAAGGTGGTTTCTGAACATTGCAAGAAGCTTTCACCAGCTACGATCTGAAGGTGGCTTTTGTGGGCAAAAATGCCCACATCATCTCAAGATTACTGTAACCTCCAATACCCCCTTTACTAAAGTTGTCTTATGAACTGAATCTAAAGGTATTCCCCTTAGAGATTTTCAGTTTTGACAACATCTGAGGGAAAACAGCATGAGGAAATAAAGTCAGTTACCAGAGCCTTTAGAATTATTCCAACCAGGGGTTAAAAAATGAATCATTTCTAACCAAATGAACATGGTTAGCGACTCTCAGCTGCATGTTTTTCTTTCCCCCAGGACATACATAAGTATGCCTTGAGCACATAGGACAATCTATAACCACAGTGGTTATGTTACAAGCCATTGTACTGCATGATTACTGGAGAGCTGCCTTCTGTCGCTCACCATGGGCCCAGACAACGGAGGAGTCAAAGAACTAATATGCTCTACTGGCAAAATCAGCAAGCACCATATCCAACACCACACTATGCTCACTAAATGTTCATTCTATGACTAGGAGGATCAATAGAATTAATAGCATAATCATGAAGAAAGTCGTGTCAGGCTAGGACATTGGAAGCCACCCATGTTACACACCTTACACTGAATACTCATTCTGCCAGTAACACACAGCATGGAAATAACATGCGGCTGAGAAGATGGGAATCTTGTAAAACAAAACGAAAAACAATTTTTTTCTTTTTCTTTTACGTATGATGAACAGTAATATAAATAATGCTATTTCCCTATAAACAAAAGCCTGGGCATTTTGTTACTTGGTATTTCCTACATGAAGAACAGTAAAACTGTGTTCAGAATTCTCTCTACTAAAAATGGGGGCTCATTAAAAAGAGACAGTTCATATTCTGAATCTAGTCATTACTTGTCAAAGGAGTCTGAGAAGTAAAACCATCTGACCCTGAAAAAAATGCTGTGAAGAGACCACATATTGGAACACACATTTCCTGCTGCTAGTACTAGGACAGATCCTATCCTTACACTTCCATTTGGTCACCAAATCAGTTAAGAAATAAAGAACATGGGGAAAGTAGGAGATTAGGAGAGAAAAAGGTGGGGAGAGGAGACTAATTCTAGAACAGAACAAGAAATAAAGAGAAGGCAGGTGACTTGCTTGCCCAACTTTGGCGCTCTTGTCCTATGAGCCAAAATGCATACTTAGTGATATATGGTATATCACAAGTAAGGGAAAAGGGGAAAGCTGAGAGAGGTCAGGCCAAGGTGTTAATTTCTCTCCTGTACAAAGACAGTCTCTTGAGGACAAAGACCCGCCTCCTGTAATGTAATGTCATAGTCCAGATGAGAGAGTTTCCTCCGAGGGAAGTTGGTGAGAAGTTCAAAACGTTCATTTGGATATCCTTTAGACTGGACATGCTTCACTAAAGCCTATGAAAAACAAGAAAGAGTTGTTAGTGGAAATAAAAGGAAACAGCACATTAATGAATTAAGTGTATAATACCACTCTTTATCAGATTAGGTAAAATTCAGAGTCTAAGTTGTTTTTTTTAAGACAATCAAAGTTCATCCTAGTGGAAAGGCCAATATAACCCTTTGGACAGGAAGATAAGATTATCTGTATCAAGTAATTTAGGGCCATTATATGATACTAAAATTCAGAGTTCTTACTGTTATCCCAATGAACTTAATTACTTATAAACTTTTTTAAAAGAAATGTATTTATTTGGTACAGGGTCTCATTGCGCAGCTCAGACTTGTAGTAATTCTCCTGTCTCAGCCTCCCCAGCACTGGGATTAGAGGCGTGTGTGACCACACTTGTTTTTTGTGGCTGGTAAAGCATGCCCAGGGTTCCAGAGCCGGCATGGCATATGGTACCGGGGATCAAATTTGGGTCCTTGTGCTTGCCAGGCAGTTGCTTAGACTGTTGAGCTATCTCCCTAGCACCCAACCAATTATTTATATGATACTGCTCTCATCTCTAAACATGTCATCAGCTTTCCTTCTGTCATGGAGATAAGTTCCTTCATCCTACCTCCTGCCTATCTTGTGCACCAACTCCCTCTTTGCCCTTTCCTCATTTGTTTCCTACTCCAGGGTGTCCTTTCCCAATTTCTTTAGTGCCTCCTTTTCTCCACAGGCTTTGTACTAGACATATAGTGCCAAGGCTCCTCAGTCACCTTTCCTTTGCCTTACTCTTCCCTTCAGCCTGATGCCAAACTCCCAGCACTCCTAGAGGATACCTGAAAGCACAGGTCCTCTGGGACACACACAGTCCTCTCAAAAGGTTTAATTTAGAAAAAGGCACGGCAAGAGTAGCAACAATATTATCAAATAGAACATATGACAACAACTATACTGAAATTACAGCCATCACTACTCTTTAAGGGTGACTAAATAACTATAAAAAATTAGAAGTAGGACCAGAGACTTAGCTCAACAGCACAGTGCAGCAAGCGTGAGGTCTTGGGTTTGATTCCCAGCATGCCCCGCCCCAAACTGAAAGTATAAATACTTTCACGAATATAGTAAACCATTGAAATTCTAAAGGGTTACCTGAATACAAGTACTATGACACAGTAACAGTGCTATGGGGCATATGTCACACAAAGAGATGACTGATAACCTGTGTGACACTGAGACAGTATGAAAGTTCACGATGGTCCTCAAGACTGAAATGAGACTTATTTATTTTTGAATGTATTTGGTACAGGGTCTACAGGGTCTCATCATATAGATTAGACTCACAGTGATCCTCCTGTTTTCAGCCTCCCTAGCACCAGGATTACATCGCGTGCCACTGTGCCCAGTCTCAATCGCTGTCTCAGCATGACCCAGGGGTGGAACCGGCATGGTATGCCAGGGATTGAACCCCAGCTGCTGCACTCTGCTGAAGCAGGCACTTCAGTCCGCTGAGCTATCTGACTGGTCCTTGGCATGAGATTTAAAACTTATGAACTCTTTTATTTTGAGAATGTGTGATTTAATACATATTTTTAGACTGTGGTGACCCAGGAAACTAGAACTATGGACAAGGGGCCCACTGTACTTGCTCATTCTGGTGTCTCACCTCCACTGCAATCTGTCCAGGAGTCAGCACCAGTGGCCATACTCCACTCACATTCCAGCCACACCCTCTTGAAGCTTTTTTTGTTTTGTTTTTGGTACCAAGGATTGAACTCAGGATCTTACTTTTGTCAGGCAGGCACTTATTTCACTGAGCCATCTCCCTGGCCCACACACCATCTCAAAGAATCAGCTTAATTATCTGCAGCCACAGTGAAGAGCCAAGCATGAACTCCTGAACCAAGGTGGGGCGGTTGGGGATGGTATTAATAAGCAAAGCTAAGGTAGTCAGATTCATTTCCTTTCCCAGCACTAGAAAACAGGTCAGGCCCATCAGCTGTAGAATTTAGATGAATTAAGTGCCCTTCACATCTCCATGATGGACCATGTCATATGTAAGCAGAGGTATAAACAGAAGCCACCCATATGTAGAGAATGGTATGAAGAAGAGAATCCTAGTACTGTGTCATCTTCAAATAGCCCCATTCCCCCTATCCAGAAGGAATCATTTCACTTGGTTTTTTTAAAAAAAAAATATTTATTTATTTATTTATTTACTTATTTATTTATTTAGTGTGTGGCCAGCTCAGCCCACCAGGGGGCGGGCGGGCCAGCACAAGGTGCTGGGGGATCGAACTGAGGTCTCTGTGCCTTGCTTCAGCTTAGCTTGTTCTAAGTAGGTGCCCTAGACCACTGAGCCATCTCACCAGCCCTTCACTTGGTTTTGTATTCATAGCACAAAACAAAAACTGCAAGAGGAGCAGACCTTATGTGACTTGCCTTGACAGTGTAGGAAATGAACCACTGAGAATGAAGTTCAGCTTCCATGTAGAGATCAGCCTGAACATCCAATACCTATTTTAAAAATCACTGGGTGTGGTGGAGCGCGCCTGTAATCCCACCACTTAAGGCTGAAGTGGGAGGACAGTTGTGAGTTTGAGACCAGTCTGGGCTACCAAGTGAGCTCAAGGTTAGCCTGAACTATATATAGCAAGACTCTGACTCAAAAAGACTGAAAGGAAGAGAGAGTGGGGAGGGGGAAGAGAGAGACAGAGACAGAGAGACAGACAGAAAAGAGAAAGAAAGGCAGGCAGGCAGGCCAGGCGTGGTGGAGCACCATGGCCATCCTAGCACTTGGGAGGCAGAGGCAGAAGGATAGTTATGAGTTTCAGGCCAGCCTGGGCTACAAAGTGAGTTCAAGGCCAGCCTGAACTGCATGGTAAAACCCTGTCTCAAAAAGACACAGAAAGAAAGAAAAATAGAAAGACAGAAAAGAAAAAGAAAAACAAAGCAAAGCAAGCAAGCTCACTGGACTTATTCCAATTAACATTTCTCAGTTTCAATCCCAATGCTTCTAGACAGATCTACTTACTAGCAGTTTAGCTTGCTCTGGAAGAGTGATCTGTTCCCTTTTTCCATCCGGGTACCGCAACATCAGCTGTGCTTTTGGTCCTAAGGAAAGAAAGAATGTAAGATAGGAGAGTAAGTCAGTAAACACAGCAACTCATCAGTGATATTCTAGTTTTAAGTGCAACTATAATGTAACCCACCGTTTACATCTGCCCCCTCCACGATTCCATCTGATTTTTCTGGTGATATCTCTAGGACCTCTGGGTCGAAAGCTGGCAATCCTTGGTGATTTGTGGCTGTCCCAGGCTCAGTTCTGGCAGAGGGCTCAGTCAATGACCTCCTACTCTCCTCCTTTCTATGCCCCAAATCTTTGTGGGGAGACTTCCTAGATTTGGCAAGATTCTCTACCTCTTCTTCTTCATCAGAGCCACAAATGGATATGAACTCCTCACTGCCAGAGAACAGTTCAGATTCAGACTCTTCATCTGAGCGGCTATCCTGCTTCGTCTGTGTGGAGTCAAAATGTGTCTCCTGCAGGGAGGCCCTGATGGCCGCTTCTAGCTGGCTGTCCTCACTGGCATCTATAAGGCTTTCCTGTGACAGTCATAAAACACAAGAGGAAAGAAAGACACACAAACGAAAAGCATCATATCAAATACAGCATAACTTGATGTTACTATTTTCTGGTGAACTTACCTCTTCTATACTTAAGCTTCTAAGGTCACAGATTTTTGGGTTACAAAGCCTAAATGAAATGGGCATTTTACCAACATACCCACAGCATGGGTATTTTGGGCACTGAATGAGTAAAAGCAAGAAAACAGTTTATTTTTTTTTTTAATTATTTTATTTATATATTTGTGGGGGGGGCAGCTCAGCCCACCAGGGGGTGGGGCTGGCTGGCATGTGGTGCTGGGGGATTGAACCGTGGTCCCTGTGCTTTGCTGAGCTTGTTCTAAGTAGGTGCTTTAGACCACTGAGCCATCTCACCAGCCCCAAGAAAAGTTTATTAATTGCTCAGAAAAAGACAAACTTTTAAATCTAAACCCAAAAACTATTATTTATATGACTAAGAGAAAAAGCTATCTCACTCACTACCATACTCATCAACTAGCACTGATTTCATTCCTTCTTTTTTTTTTAAACAGGGACTCACTATATATGCATAGATCAGGCTGGCCTTAAACTCACCATGTCATAGCCCAGGTTGACTTCAAACTCAAAGCAATCCTTCTGCCTAGTTCTCCTAATGCTGGGATTACAGGCATGTACCACCATGCCTGGCTAGCACTGATTTCTAACAATTTGAAACAAAATGTCATGTATAAAAAAATAACTAAAAAAAAAAAAAAACAAAACAAAACAAACAAACAAAAAAAAACCCTAAATTCTCCCAAACCTAATTACAATAAAGGTTTTCATTATAATAACAAGTTCTCCCCTTGGTGAAGTTCTCACTTTACTCAATGAAATAACTCACGAATACAAACTGTGTGATGGAAATTATCTAGCTCTTAACTCATATATTCCACAGAAAAAACTGGTGGATACTTCATTATATCAAGAAGTTATTGCTAATTTTAAGGATATCCTAAATGGTATTATGATTTTTTTTGTTTTTATTGATACAGGGTCTTGCTATGCAGTTTGGACTTGTAATGATCCTCTTGTCTCAACTTCCCCAATGCTGCGATTACAGGTGTGCCCTCCATGCCCAGTTTCAGGTCTGGCAAGGCATGTGGTACCAGGTATAGAACTTGGAACCTTGTAATTGCTAGGTAGGCACTTAGGCAGACAAGTTATTTCTCCAGCCCAGTAATGGTGTTTTGATAACATAAAAAGAACACAGAACTACAATTCCAGCACACAGGAGGCTGAGGAGGAGTGCCACTCCTTTAAGGCCAGCTTGGGCTACCGCGTGAGATCTTGTCTCAAAAAGCCAAAAATAAAATATGTAAGTGCAAAGAGCCTTCATCAAGACACACTTCAAAGTATCAATGAATTAAAACCTAAACTCTGAGATTTGTTTCAAAATAATACAGATAGCGCTTCCCTGGCAAGTGCAAGGGCTTGAGTTCAATCCCCAGCTCTGAAAAAAAAAAAAAAAAAGTTAATCAAAATAATACAGATAATAATACAGACATGGTGGAATACAGATAAAAGAATGCAGGCCACCTATAATTGGCTGAAATTATTTAATAGATAAAAGCCTCAAATTTCTTTTTCTTTCCTTTCCTTTTTTTTGTTTTTTGTTTTTTATTTTTTGAGACAGGGTCTTGCTAAACTTAAACCTAACTGGTTTAGGCTGCCCCTGAACTATGTAGTCCATGCTGTCCTCAAACTCAGAGATCCTCCTGCCTCAGCCTCCCAAGCACTAGAATTACAGGCATGCATCACCATGCCCAGTGGCTTCAAATTTCAACTTTTCAATATGTTTAAATTTTTCCATAATAAAAAGGTTAAAAATGGGCTGGGCAAATAGCTCAGCAGTTTAAAGCTCCTGCAAGCAGGTGCAGGGGCTGGGGGTTAGATCCCCAGGCCTGCTCCGAGGGCCATGCCCCCAGGGCACATTGAGACAGCAATTGAAATTGGGCATGGTAGGGCACCTGTAATCCCAGCTCTTGGGAGGCTGTAAACAGGCAGATCACTACGAGCCCAATCTAGTAGTGAGACCCTGAACACCCTGTAGACCTGTCCCTGAAATACAAAAAAAATAAGGTTAAAAATATATGTGTTGCTAACACAATAAACAAAAGGAATGCCTGGCTTCCATTATCTGCTGATTACAGAGCAACAAAGAGAAGTTTTAAAATCAATTTTTAAGTCTGAATTATGACTCCCACAAAGCAGACAGATGAGTCCCTGAAGCACACAGTGACTGGTGACTGAAGGGGTTCACAAAGTTGCTGCACTGTAGTCAACTCAGCCACAACCAGGGTCTTTCCTGCATGCCCTCCCAAGTCCTTACTTACAGAACGTACAGCTGAGAAATTCCATTTACTAATTTTGCTCTGTAACTAAGAGAATTATAGTGTTGAAATATATTATTTACAGAAAAAATTAGATTAAATGCTTACATTAGAAGAAAAGTGTCTAATCACTTGTGTCCAGCTTAAAAAAAGAAAAAGAAAGAAAGAAAAAGGAAAAACTATCCACTTGGGAAAAAGAAAATGAAACTGGGCAGGCGTGGTGGTGCACACCTGCAACCCCAGCACTCAGGAGGCTGAGGCAGAAGGATCGCTGCAAGTTCAAGAGCAGCCCGGGCTAAAGCTGAGCTCAAGGCCAGCCTGAACTACAGAGCAAGACCCTGTCTCAAAGAGAGGTGGAGGTGGAGGTAAAGGTGGAGGTGGAGGAGGTGGAGGAGGTGGAGAAGGAGGAGAAGGAGGAGGAGGAGGAAGAGGAGGAAGAGAAGAAGAAGAAGAAGAAGAAGAAGAAGAAGAAGAAGAAGAAGAAGAAGAAGAAGAAGAAAGAAGAAGAAGACTAACACTTTTTGTTACTTCATAAGCCAAGTCAAAGAAACATTTCACAAAGAGTAACCAACTCTGTTAAGACCATGACATTTGATAATGCTGACTTCACAAGGGATATCATGAAGTTTTGATAGAGTAGTGGAGAAAATAACTGCTTAGATTGGAGTTAGGAGAGAAAAGGGATAATATAGAGAAAAAGTTAAGTTTTT